ACAATTGAGTACGTATTTATAAGTTTTTTCTAACGTGAATACCAAAATGAAATGAAAAGTACGTAGATACCCGGTCATACGAAATATCAATTATATCAAAGAAATTTTTGGAAATTACCTATTTAGAAACCGGCGCCGCTCCTCCCCTCCACCGTGGCTCACCGCCGCCGCCTTCGTTATGACAAGTAATATTTGGTTTCAATTTTTTTTTCTTTAATATTGAGTTAGGATTTGATTGTTTGATATGGGTAATTAGGATTTGATTGTTTTAGATAGGAATGATCGTTAATTAGTAATGGGTGCATCTAATTTCAGTCGATTTGAGCATCGATTCAAGATTTTGTGGGTTGTTCTTCGTTTCACAAAAATCGACCTGAAAGTGTCGATTTTTGCAAACTTTTCGACAGATTGCTGTCATAAATTATTCAACAATCGACACCTTGTTGTCGATTTTTGTGAAAATTTTGAAATTTAACTTTTGTTAATTCGACAGCAACCTGTCGAAAATGTTGGAAAAATCGACAGCTAGCTGTCGATTTTTGCTACAACTTTCGACAGGTTGCTGTCGAATTCTTACTGTATTGATTTTTTTTTCTTTCCTATTTTTATTTGTTTGTTTTTATATTATGTATATTTATTTATTTTTATTTTGTGTGTTATTTTGCAATGGAAGAACCACGTGAACCTCGTATACCCCCGACTGTATCGAACCGTAAGAAGAGGAAGGAATTATCCGATAAGGGCAAGGGCAAGGCAATCACGACCAACAAAAAGACCACGACCAAGAAGAAGTCTGGAGAGGGTTTTTTGATAATTTGCAATTTTTATTTTTTTGATAATTTGCAATTTTTATATTTTTTGTCCAAAAACACTTAGAATGTGTTGTTTATGTTATATTGAAATAGATTTGGGGTTAATTTCGCAAAAAAATATAAATATTGCAAATGATTAAAAAAAAAATAAAAAAAAATCAAACAGTATACTTCCACGAACCCATGCCAATAAAGCTTATTTTGTTGGGAATTTTTCTGACGTGGTAAATGAATGGGTGCAATCGATCTACACAAAAGTGGAGAAAATATTAGACAAGTAAATTTGCAACAGGAAAAAATTGACACTTGTGTCGAATTTGTCCCCTATTTTCGACACTTAAGTATCGAAAATAATGGACAAATTCGACACGTAAGTGTCGAAAATAGGGGACAAATTCGGCACTTAGGTGTCGAAATATGACTTATATAATAATTGATATTATATGTTTTCGACGGGTAACTGTCGAATTTCACCACTATTTTCGACACTTAAGCGTCGAAAATGAGGATAAATTCGACAGTTACCCGTCGAAAATATATAATAATATTAATTATTATGTGTTTCAACACATACATGTCGAAAAATAAGCACAATTTCGACATGTACGTGTCGAAATTTGATGGCGGATTTTAAAAAATAAAATAAAATCAAAATCGACGTTCTAGCTCAAAAAATACATGGATACGTATCTTAATGGGTTCTCCTTGCTCGTAAACTACCATTCTATTGTCATTTGACGTCATTTTGCAAGTTGTGTAAGGTTTTGATTTCATTAGTTTTGAGGTTTTTTAGGAGGGTTTTTGGGGGAGGGAGAAGAGGGAGGTGGAGGAGGTGAGGGGTTTGTGAGTGAGGAGGGAAATGGGTTTTGAGGGGTTTTGATTATTTGGTATTGAAGAAAGAAAAATAATATTTGTAATATTTTTTTGGTTTTGATTTTCATTAAGGGTATTAAAGTAATTTAATATTAATTATTTATATTTTTATTTGTTTGGTATTCAATTAAGCAAAAGTTGGGATTTGTTATAGTAATTCTCTTTTTCAAATTGGGCACGAACACGGTGTTTTTGAAAGGGTTAATAGCACTTAAGCCCCTGTGTTTTGAGTTTTGTGCACATGACCCCACATTACTTTTAATATAAGCACGTGACTCCCACTGTTTAGGTTTTAAAAAAAAACTTAATAACAAAAATAAAAAATTGCAGACAGACATACGGGAAAACAAAACATACATACGTCTTCTCATCTTTTGCACTCCCCGTTCACATTCCATGCATTAAGGCTCAACTATCATGTCCGCAATTCGCTGCCGAAGTAATCCGCCAGGCGATGTCGTTGGAATCCACCATATTTAAATTTTTTTTAAGAATCAATATGTTTATTGTAATGAAAATAACTACATGTAACTATAGTAAATTATAGTCATTCGTAGTTATGTTCTTTTTTTTACCCCATGTTTTTAGTCGATCAATTATTTACACACGCGAATACTGGCTTATACAAAAGAAAATTCATAAACCCCAACAACAAAAATTTACAAATTTCAATATATTATAAATTACCTCATAACCAATAAAATACAAATCGAAAATACACAAATATATGCATATGTAACTACATGTTACTATATGCAACAATTAATGTATAGTAATGTACAATAGCGTATACAGTCAGTTGAATACTGTAACTTGAAGCAGATGTAACTTCAACCAAATTTTTTGACACCTTCAAGAAGAGGATCAATAGCTTTCATTAAGCTGCAATAGCAAAATCAAAACAAAAAAAAAATATTAGTGCAAATCAACAAAAAATAAGACACATCAAAACACTGAAATCAACAAATAGAGATAGAGAGAGAGAGAGAGAGAGAGAGAGAGAGAGAGAGAGAGAGAGGGGGTCATAGCTGCGAAATACTACGAATTTTAAACCAACCCGCCAATGACTCGTCACCCCAAGCGCCTCCTACCAAAAGCCGTCGCTAACCACCCAAGATTCCGCGCTCACAAATGAAAAAAAATTATATAAATAAATCATACAATAATAAAATGAACGAAATTACCATCAAAATGTAGATCTCGACGAGAGGAATCCAACGGTGGGTAGCCTGTCGGTTCCAAATGCCGGAACACAAATTACACCTCCGGCAAGACCCACCGTCGTCGAAATACGCATGGACTGCAAAACAATTGCAAAAACAGATTGAGTGCTCCAACCTGAATGAAATCACAACCAAAAGAAGAGCTCGATGAGAGGAATCCAACAGTAGTTAAACCATCGAATTCCGACGACCGGAGAGAGAGTTATGACTTCGGGAAGCAACTTCGTCGGTTGGAGATCTATGGGGGCGGTATTTGAATTTGAGAGTTGAGAGAGGAATAGAGAGACGACTGTGAGTGGGTAGGGTTTAAAACTTATTTTAAAAGGGCATTTTAGGTACTTCAGGGTGGTCGAGAGGGGTATGTCAAACTATTATCGAAATGGAGGGCATTTGCAGCAGTGTGTATCCGCATGGTAGTTAGTCATATATAATTTCGAAACGAGAGGTCTCCAAAATAATCTCTCTCTCTCTCTCTCTCTCTCTCTCTCTCTCTCTATATATATATATATATATATATATATATATATATATATATATATATATATGTGTATGTGTGTG